ACAGCAGGAGGATCACTGCTGTATGTGTCAGCGTGTCGGTAACAAGAAAATGTTGCGTGGAGGCCCAAGTGCTTAGTAGGGACCTCACTGCCCAGCCTGAGGGCCTGAGCCCTCGGCAGGTTCCTACCTGCAGCCCTTGAACACGAGCTGATGTTCTGCTTGAGAAGAACAAACACATAAAGGCTAAAGTGTTTGCAGGAGACCTCCTTGATGTGTTCTTGGGTGTTTGCCAGGAGAAGGCTATTTTCCCAGTTCTGAGGGTCATGCCTGTGTACCGGCTTTCAGAAAGCAGACAAGTTCTACTGATCTTTAACTTTGAATTTTTACTATTTTAATAAGAAGATTCCCGCCAGCTCCTAACATCCTAGGTTTGTTAGATTCTGAAGGTACCCTTAACAACAAAGTAGATCTAAATAGACAACAGGCCACATTCAAATCTTGTAAGTAGGGAACCCTGCACAGTTATGGAAATCTAAAATCATATTTTTACAAGGTATCTTCATTTCCTGTTTTTTTTAGGCAGTAGTTCGGATGAGGGTTCTTCAGTCCTTGTTTCCAGAAAGTGTGGGGTGTTGTTGTTGTGCWCTCGTTGGTTGTAGCCAGAGTGCCGGGCTGGAGGCTGCTGTGGGTGCTGCCGGTGTCGCCCGCGGCCGCCGCTCCGCAACAAACAGCGTCTTTGTGTGAACATGGATAGTGCCTGTAGCTGCCGAGCGGCCGTGGCTTGAAAAAGAGCGAGCCCGTGTCGAGTTCCCGGGTTACGCGGCTGGTTCTTCCGAGAGGAGCGGGAGAATTTTAGCCATARCTTCTGCAGAAGCAGTTTAGAACATGATCCAGGAGTAGAGAGACTTCATGAAGACTAAAACCGACTTTTACAAGGACCGGGAAGAACATCACAATCTAAATACTGGTAAAGCATCTTTTAAATTTTTGCACTTTCTCAGCTTTCTGGTTATATTATTTGCTATATTAATTTCTGTGAGTGCAAATGGAAAGTTTCAAATATGTAACATTACATTACGTTTAATRGTGGAAAAAATGTAGATGATAAAAAATGTAGACTGCCGATAATACCAACCGCCTGCAAGTGTAGTTGTGTAAAAGGGAGGTATTGTTTTTCTCACTGTAACTAATTTAACTTTTGTTTTCACTGCCTAAAAGTTACCTGAAGAGGAGAAACAGATTGAAATATAGCAAGTGATTTTGAATCATTTTTACTTGAAGTGAGTTTAGTATTTGTGCAAGTGTTTAGAAGGGTGTTTTTTTGATTTCTTTTTTTATTCCCCCCCTTTTCAATGTCAGCTGCCCACAACAAAATATTATTAAACACGATGGCTTTTATTCTGTTGTCTGTGGGAATGGAAGGGGAATGAATAGCATTGATATGAAAGGGACTTTCCAGTGTGACCAGAGGCTTAAAAACTGTTTTGTTCGTGGTTGGGAGCAGCTGGGGGCAGCGCCTGCCGTGAGGCCCTGGTGCCAGCGCAAGCTCTGCGGCCTCTAATGTGCAAACAGAAGAGAATTGGAGCAATGGGAAATAAAAYTAGCGCCTTCTGAAGCTTTTTGGCTTCTTAAGCTTTGGGAAAGCACCAGGATTTGCTGTCCTGTCCTCCGTAGCCCAGTCCATTGCAGGTATGCAAGGACCGACAGTTTTGTCTTCAGCTACCCTGGACCTGGAGCAACTTTCCTCTTGCCCGTTGCTTGACAGCAGCTCGTCAACACTCCTTGACTGCTGGAAATGCAAAAGCAAAATCTGAACAAATGCAAGACCACGTTATTGATCATTTTATTTCTTCTATTCTTTTTTCTTTGCCTTTTAGACCTTTCTTTAAAAAATTAATGTTTAGGTGGGCAGGGGTGGGACATCTAGCTTAGCTGCCAAATGAGGCTGTGTCTGCCCTGTTCTGAGCAATCACCAGAGAAGGTTTCTTCCCTAACTGCCTATTTTGTTTCTTGAGTCACACTTGTATCCAGTTTTGAAGCTTTTATAACAACAATAAAACCACCAGAGACAATGAAAGATGAATAATCGTTAAGAAGGTCAAGGTTTTGATTTCCCGCATTGTTTCAGATGTGATGCAGCCCACGATGTTGTAGCTTGAAGCTTGAACAGCAGATGGACATTTTAAAGGTTCATCACATACGATCTATTGAAATGACCAATACTGATTAAACTACTTTTTTGATGAACATGTGGTGATTTTTTTTTGTTTATGTATGTATTTGCTATGGTAAACCAAAATATGCCTGTTTAAAGAAAATTTCATGAATATAATATATGTTGTAATCAGAAAAATCTGGGTGGTAGCAAGAAATTAACAATACAATTTAGATTTTTTTTTTCCTAAACTGCAGGCGCTTGGCAGCACCAGGTGTGAAATGAGCTGGTGTTTGGAGTTCAGGGTCAGATGGATCCACAAATACACTTAGAAACTTTGAACCTCTACCAGCACACTTCAGTTTGATAAGGAAAGCTTGATTTTTTTTTTTTCAGTTTCCATTAATACAAATAATCTAAAATACACACAGAAGTGGCACCATCCCATTAATGGTGATTTTTACCATTATTGATTATTTCACTTTTAGCTGATATGCCACTTTCAGGTGATATATTTACTTATTTTTTAGGGAGAAACAGATCTGTCTAATACTGACTAAACGTTAATGTCAGCATCACCTGAGATTGTCTTGTTTGCTCTATAATGCTCTATAATCAACACGTTGCTAAATGTGTTGATTATCTGTAATGCCAATCTTTACTTAGCAAATGTAATATATTTCTTTCACATCTTTGTTTTCATTCAGATAATATTTAGAGCATTTATTACTTGTCTCTAATTTCTTGTAAAGTGGGAGAATATTTTTTGTACTTAGGTATTTCACAAAGAATTCTTTCCGTTTCCTTACTTAGCTTTTACCTGATCATTGTGTGATTTTAAACTTGGAGCTACTTACATAATTCCTTTTATAAGAAGGAAAACATATTTTATTCTTGTCTCCTGAAGTATAACCTCTTGTCCCCGCTTCAAGCTGTTTTCTGAGTTTTCAGCATGGGTGGATTAATGTAACATTAAACTATCCCAGTGCAGCTAGAAGGTTAAGATGATTCTGGCAGGGAGTGAAGAGGATTACTTTAAAGGCAATGAATATGATAATTTCCACTCTAAATATAATTGAATTGTCATGAGGCGCAGAGCCTGCCAAACTTTGATTCATATGTTACTTATATTGAGGAAAAGAAGGCAAGCAATGGACATAAATGGTTTCAGCGTTAACCAGGACATACTTTCTAGTGCAAATATGGTTTTGCATTCCTTTTGTCAAAGGCTTCAACTTTGTTTCACCTTCTGCTACTTTTTCCATCTGTGGTGTTTTGAAACGCCTGTGTCCTTTTCAGTGTGTTTTCCCTAAAAATAAAGCAATAATGCATTTGAGCTCCATTAATTGAAAATGTTGCCATATCTACTCTTTATTAGTTGATCTGCAGTCACTACTGCATATCTACTCATTAATTAGTTGTTCTGATGCATTCTCAAATCAAATCTTATCACTTATGCTTGAAAAGTAGTGATAGGGAYTTTTCCCCTTTCTTCAAGCCCTGAAGGATTCATATTTCAAGCCTTGTAAGYTTTCCCCAGGTGTATCCATTGGAAAAGTAAGCATTAAGTTGGCCTGGTGCTTGGCTCGTCTCATCGCACGCAGTGTCAGATGTCTTAAGCAAGCAGGAACTTCTCTGTTAAAGCTGGAGCTCTGTAAGGAGGTCCTATAAACCCAGGCCTGTTTGTGCCTTGAAGAAGGCAGCGCAGGAGCTCCCAGCGTGGGCAGCACCGGGCCGGGCAGCAAGGCTGAATCCGCTCCCTTCTTCCCTTACAAAGAGGAGATTGTGTCTCGGAGCTGCAGCATGGAGCTACAGGCCTGCAAAACGCAGCAGATGCAGTTAGCAAATCTATTTCTTTTCTCTTCCAATAATTGCATAAATGTACAACTGTTGGTTCTTGGCACGCACGGGCAAAAATGACAAAGTCCCCTCTACTGAATGGGAGTAGTGGGGTTGGCAGCCGGTGGTGACAAGCAGAAGGGAGCCCCAATGAGGCGAACAAAGAAAAGCTGCTGGAGAGGGTGAGCGAAAGCTCCAGAGAAGGAGGTGCCCTTTCCAGCAGGGGAAGTTGGGGGCAGGCGTTTTGCCCCTGTTTTGCCAGGATGTTCCTRGCTTCCATGCACGCGCTCCTGGAGGATCTGCCAGGAAGGCACCCATGAGAACAGACTAAGGCCCATGAGAAAGCCACCTTAGCCCAGCTGCTTTCTGGAATATCCGAGAAATATATCAGTCATTTTACCAAAGAAATACTGCATTTGCACAAATAAGCATGCTAATAATGACATAAAACAAAAAAGGATAATACTAGCTCTATTTTTCTAAGGCCGAGTGTCTGTAATGTTGTCATATTCTGATGCTTACCGAGTTGAACTTGGTGCCTGAGCTGCAGGTTTGATATTCTGTCCCATCATCAGCTTTCTCAGGATAAGTGGAGAGGTTCCTTAAGAGATAATTTGTGCAGTGTTTTTTGGACATTCCTCACTCTTCTAATCACTCTATGTGAATTTTGTAAATCGCTGCAACTTTTGTTTCAACTTAGTATCTGTGTTTCAGATTTCTTTGTCCTTTATAAAATTGTTGAATTTGCAATTCAAACTTTACTGCCTTGTTTGATCTAGTTTGTGGATTATGGATATTTTTTTTTTTTAATTCTTAGTATTTATTTTAACAAAAAATAGGGAACATTCTGAATTCAGCACTTGAGTAAAATGCAATTATTGCTTAATATCCCAAACATTATTAAGATGCCACTTCTGCCTGCCAAGGTCATATTTTGCTTTATTATGATTGCTTTGGCATTTCTCCACTCAAGTAGTCTCTCAAGTTGAGATTTTTTCTGAATATTTAGCTACTGTTCTTGCTCACACAGGAGGAATCTCAGCAGCTTTATTTTAATCCCYAACAGGTGCAGATGCCGAGCAGGATGCTGCTGTCAAACTTGCCCAAGAACGAGCAGAGATAGTTGCCAAGTATGACAGAGTAAGTAAACTTGCTCGTAACATAAAAACATTGTATAATTAATCTTAGTAACATTTCTGTTCTAAAAAATAAATTGTAATTTCCCCTTAGCTTTTGTATGAAATATAGTGTAGTACTAATCTGGTGGTTTCACTGTTTGGGGTATCATCTCAGCTGATTTTTCAGTGTGAGGACTTAAGTGCAGTACTGGGGAGCAACAAGAAAAAATGTGGGACTATGACAAATCTGGGGCTGAAATCTGCTCTGTGTTAGCAGTGAAATAAACATTTTACTCCCTGAAATTGATGAAAATATTTTTGTTAGTGGATGAGCAAAGTGCATTATCTTCGTTGTTTGTTGGTTGGTAAGTGTAGGAGTCCTGTCCCCTGAAGACTATGCTTGGAGTGACTGAATCATGTCTTTATATTTTAGTTAAGTTGTCGTAAATTTTCACTATCTCTTTTTTTCCTTCCCTTTAGGGACGTGAGGGTGCACAGATTGAACCATGGGAAGATGCTGACTATCGTCTTTACAAAGTCACAGACAGATTTGGCTTTCTGCAGTAAGTAGCTGGCTTGAGGGAAAAAAAAAAAAAAAAAGAAACATTTAATTAGCTTGTTTATTGGATTGATTGCTTGGTGAAAACGTTATTTCTTTTAGTGGATCTCTTGGGAGTTGTATTTGGAGTGTAAACTTCAGTCTTACATTGTGCTTTCTAATTCTAACTTTTTTTAGTTTTGTAACTTAAATCTATTGTCAGGAGTGAAATGTTTTCGAATATTTTGCTTTGGAATGATGATGATTGATGTAAAATGTGATTTTTTTGAGCTGAAATGTAGATAAATGCAGATTTGCTAAAATGCAGGTAAATTTCATGTGTAACATAAATGCTTAAACAAAAACTTTAAAGTCCTCAAAACAGTTTTTAAAAAAAATAAATATTGATCATTTAAAAACTGTAGGATTACGTGGTAGCTGTATGTGAATACTGACATGACTCAATCTTTTAAAGTTAAATCTCATTTGACTTCATGTATTTAGAAAACCCTATTGAAATCTCTGCAGATTTAGGAGCTAATGCTGGATCAATTTGCAATGTCAAAAAATGCCAGAATCCAGAACAAGTTCACAAATAAGAAGTAAGAAACGTAAGAAACGATCTCTGTCATGTTTGGCAAATGAAAGGTGATAGCATTAAATTGTTTGAGAAGCTTTGTGGTGAGAAAAGGGAAATATTTCAGCCATACTAACTTGCAGAAATTGCATGCAAGATGAGCTGCTACTTTTTATAATGTCTGATCAAGAATTTTAATATATTCAAGCATAAATATCATATACTAAAAAGTGTGAAGTGTAGTTGAGTTGTGTGAAGTGTAGCGTAGTTGAGTGAGTGTAGTCCAGAAAAATCGGTGATGAGTGGAGAAATGTATTTTAATAGCGTGCCGGATTTTTCCTTTTTTGAGGGTTTTTTTTTCATTCCTCCTGTAATGTCATCATTTTAATTATCTGTTGATTAAACAGTTATCATATGTATTTTACACATAGAGATCTTGGTGTTGGTGACCTACAGCGCTAGCATGTAGTGTTTGGGTTACAGGGAAGAAAAGTGTTAGTGGAGAATGGAAGTCAGGATTATTTCTTGTGCAAAAACAGTTGAAGCTGCTGCTAAGTTCACCACTGACATCAGCAGGAAATGAGCCAGGCTCCCTCAGTTGCAAGGGAAATCTTGATTTTGGTTACCTGTATGAACTTCTGAACTTTTCCTGTGCCTTGAATTGTGATGTTTGCTTTTTTTTTTTTTCCCATATATTGAGCGTGGAAGAGTGTGACTAATACCTGCTGCTGTTGCTGTTGCAGTCCGAGTTGTGGGGAGTGTGGGATGCTGCAGCTCCAGCACCACAGCCAGTAGGAGATGCAGCTCTGGAAGTGCTTCTGGCAAGTTAGCTCCCATGCTGGAGCTRCAGAGGCCATTCACTTAAAGCCCCTGTAGGCACCCATTTAAGACACATTGTCATTTCTGCAGCATGGTGGGCTATCCTAATCCCTAGGCTGCACTTCCTTTCTAGGAATGTCATTAGGCACTGATGCACATTCTGAGCAGGGTTTGTCCTCTGCAGAGTCAACTTCAAGGGATGAAACTGGAAAGGTTTGTAGAATGTGAGCGCTGGGTAAATTAACAGTGTTTATAGATGCTCCATCTCTTCACTGATTGTGCAGTACTCCCTGCTTATAAGCTGATCTGTGTCTCTGTGTAAAGCCGAGTTTGCTGGAGACTATCATCAGGGCTGCTGTATGATTCTTCAAAGGAAATTCATTTTAAATGACAATTCTATTTTCATGAGTAATAAAATCTCTTGTGATATAAGAACTGTAATTAGAACAAGAGTATCAAATGTCTGGGGTTCACTTGCGCTGCAGTATAGAGTCTGCAGAAACTACTGCTTCTGAGAGAAGGAAACTCCCATTTCTAAGATCATTTGAAAAAGCAAATGGCACAAATGCAGTGTGCACGACGAGCTCAAACCGTGGCTTGGATGGATGTGATCCACTCCTTTCACAGAATGGTTAAGGTTGGAAGGGAGATCATCTAGATCCATTCGCTGTAACCTTGAGGATGATAAGTCAGCGCTGCAGTTAGCAGCAGAGACAGAGTTAAATGTTCAGCACTTGCTTGCTATGTCTTGCTGACCATTCCTTTCAGAGCTGTCAAGGCCAGTAATTTCCCATGAAATCATGTTTTTGCAGCGTGAATTAAAAAAGCAATCTAATGCACATAGGAAACTAAAAATATGGGGACAGTAGCAGGATTGTTGGCATCATGTTAAGATGATTATGTAATTGCTATGTTTACAGCTTAAAATACAAAATAGCTGAAAAATAGTTTTTGTACCATAATGGTGCTAGGTGGGAGGAACCTATCAGAAATTTAGGTCTCCCTTGCTCAAGGACAGCAGGCCTTGATTGCCATCTGTAGTTCATAGTTGAAACCTTCTCCATTGCCTTGGCTGTGTCTACTTTATTGCTTTGCTTGGCTCTATTAACACATGTCCAAAGTCTATGTGAGTGCTGTTTGACTGGGGAGATCAGTGTGATGGGATTGAGCACCAAAGACTTTGAAAGAAGAGGTTTAGTCTTGAGACTTRCTCTACTTTGGTTGTCCCAGTGTCCTTATTTGTGTGTCAAACTGGAAATTTGTAAGCCTAGAGAACCTAAAAACATATTTTTCTCATCTTAGTGTAGTAGGTTGGTAATAGTGAGTGAGAGTAAATAGACTGGGAATATTCAGAGTAGCAGAGGGAAAGTGCTTTCTTAATGTAATGATACAGAAATTGGTGGTGGTTAGAAATAAAAATGAAGTTTGCCTCAAGGTAGACTATTTAACCTTGAGACTATCTTTTGTTTAAGGCCCATGGAGGGGAGTATCTGTTGAGCAGCTCTGCTCAGTTGAAACAGCCCTTTGCAATGCTTAAGACCAACCTTATCTAATGAACTCTCTTCATTTTAATAGTTGTTGCCTTAGGAAACAGAACTATGTACCGTGATGCTGTTCTCCATTTCATAAATCTGCAAATGAATCTGAAACTTCCATTCGGCTTCAGATAGTAAAAGGTACTTGGGATGGCCGGGTTATTTTAATAACTTTGTAAAGTGCAAAATCATTATAATAATGAAGATTARTTGTATGAAATGAATAAATGGAAATGTTGAAGCTGGATATGAGAAACCTGGCCAATGAGGAGGAAACTTGGCTCCTTGAGGAGCTGAAAGGCATCTCTTAAGCTGGTGTGCTTAAGACTGGGGGAAAAACAAAGTTGTCGGTGGGACGGGCAAAATTCTAAAAGGATTATATATTATATTTATAATTTATATGTGGCTAAACACTGCACGAACCAGCAGCCTGAGACAAAAATCTCATTATGGGATAAAATATATGAAAAATTGCCCTTTCCAATTGCCTTTGTTGCAAGGCTGCAAAGAGGTGGTGGTGCTTGTGCTTTACTGAAGCTGTGTAGTGGTGTGGGCAAAACAGCCTTGGTCCTGGGAATGTTTATGTCATTTAGTGTACTGGCAATTAACACAGTCTTTTGATGACTGCTGTGGATACCTGTGTGTGTTTATCTGGATATCCCCACGTGTGTCTGTATCTCACCACCCGTGCCAAGGACAAAAGCCTTGYTCAGAGTGCCCACAGGGTTGTAATGGCTCTGGTGGGGCCGAGGGACTGAGCTGGGGGGCTGAGGTGCCCTCTAAAAGCAGAGGAGACGCCTTGTAGTTGGACTTCGACTCGGTCGATAGCTCATCGAGCTCTACGCTGCACTATTCCCAATTCTCTCTCTTTCATTTTYGTTCGCTCAGCAGAAAAAAAAGGTGAGCTAACACTGTCTCACGTTTCTGCTGTCTCATACAGTATTCATAGCGTTGTTCAGCCTAATTGGTATAGACTTTTTTCCATCGAGCACTTTTGCGTCCTCCTCAATCAACTTCATCTGATACTTGTGAGTTAGGACCTGTGAAAGTTCTAATTTTCTAGCAGATCAAACTTGGAACACTCTGCATCCATGAAAAAGGTAGTTTCTTGTTGAAGTTTGGGCCCAGGTTTTAAAATAAGGGCTCTAAAACTTTTCATTGTGGGCTGAGCTTTCACAGGATCGTTGCATTGTGGAGGCTTCTCTTGCAGTTTTTCTTGTACCAGTCATTTACAAGGGAGTGACTTGGAAGGAATGTAAAGGAGCTTTCGAGTGTTTCCAGCTTTGTAGCAGACATTCCAATAATGCCTTGGGATCTAGGATTTCCCCAGTTGAATTCTTCCGGTCAGTCGTTACTGCTCTGGATGGTTTAAAAAAAAAAAACAAAAAACCAAGGAGAACTAATCTGATATCCCCTGGGGYAACTGCAAATCCCTCTACTACTCCTTGGAACATTTTGAGAGATTTTAATTTTTCATGAAGACTACTAAGCTCAGTATTGAAAGATTTGTGCTGATGGTGACAGTCGTTTGGGGGGGGGATTATTTTTGTTTATTTTTGTTCTTTTCTTGTTTAAGCATTTATGGTATGAGGAAGGACTAAGCAAGCTAGGCTTGTTTAGCCTGGAGAAGAGAAAATTGAGAGAGGATCTTAGCAACATGTACAAATACCTGAGAGGAGAATGTAGGATGGAAGGGGCCAAACTCTTCTCAGTGGTGGCCAGTGACAGGACAAGGGCCAGTGGGTATAAGTTGARACTCAGACAGTTCCATCTCCATGTGAGGAAGAACTTCTTCACTGTGAGGGTGMCAGAGCCCTGGCACAGGCTGCCCAGGGAGGCTGTGGAGTCTCCTTTTCTGGAGATCTTCCAAAGCCACCTGGATGCYGCCCTGTGCTCCGTGCTCTGGGTGTCCCTGCTGGAGCAGGGGSTTGGACTAGATGATCTCTAGGGGTCCCTTCCAACCTTAAGGATTCTGTGATTCTGTGTGATGTGTGATGTTCAAAGGACAGGTAACTTTATTCTGCCTTTTTCTTCCCTGACCCATGTCAGGGYTGCCCGGTCACACATGCAGTATCTGGCTTGGCTTTGAAGGGC